TAGACTGAAGAACAAAAAGACAGCAACTTGTCTGTTCCCCTTCCCCAATTCCCCAGCACTGTTCCCATCCCCCCAATTACCCAATAAAAATCTTAAAAAATATATATATAGAAGGCCAAAATAAAGGAATTGAATTTGTAGGATGCTCTTCCTGTGGCTAACCATTTGTTAAGATGCCCAGATTCTTTGTATTTTTACTGACATTCTTAGCAGAGAATGAGATGAAGTCTCTTGTTTTGTATGCTACTGCAACTGTCTGTGGCTCAACTCCTACCGTCACCCGGCACACCATTCAGTCACTAACAGGCGGGACCCTGTTTGCTTTCAAAAGTACAGGTGGAGCCCCTGCCCAGCGTTGCCAGGCCTCCTCAGCTCTTCCAAGGGGTCTGACCAGCCTTCCTTCTTAGAGATACAGTCCTGAGTCCAGTTCCAAGTTCCAGATCAGCCTTGGTGGTCGTAAACAAGATTTATATACTGAAGCTGTCTCAGTCCCCAGCATCCATGCCAAGTGATGTGCTCAGCCAGGGGTTTCCTGCTTTAATATTTCATCTGCAAAATGGTGTCGCAGGTGGGTTGTTTGGAAAGCAGACTCTGGGATGGAGTTTAGTGTGTTGGAGGTTTATTAGGGATGTTTCTAAGGGATGTTATATCCATGGGATCAACATCCATGGAAGGGAGGGAAAGGAAGTGTGAGAGGGCAGAGGGGGAAGCAAAGCTGACACCAGGCTGGGCTGATCCCACGGGAGCTCTGAAGCTAAAAAACCATTAGAAGTGTTCACTATGAGTTAAAACAGCCTGCACTTGATGGCTAAAGGCTGTCTGCTTAGGTTTCTAGCAGCTGGGCCAACACGTCCTTTTGGAAGGGGGATCTTGGTGACACATCTCCATTTCTACCACAAATGGGGATGATAGCATTACCTACTGCACAAGGTTCCTGTCACTACTTATCTGACACAATTCATATAAAAGTGGAGCACTGGGTCTGACATATAGTAACCACTTAATAAATGTCAGCTACTTATTAATGGATGATGCTTGTGATTCTTATGATTAAGCACACTGAAGATTGTGTGTTTTCAAGTAGCTCCAGAAATTTTTCCCACCCAATTTCAAGTCCACCGGGACCTCAATCCAGTTTTAAGACCCTCTTCAAGCATCAGTAAAATGCTGAGAATGTTTCTTATTGTCTCTGTTTAGTCAATGAGCCCCATCTCTGAATCAATTACTGGGGCCAGGAGGATGCTATGCTAGACATGATCTGTTGGTATCTAGCATCCATTTCCACCCATGTCTGGTACCTTGACTCAGGAACAGGGCACATCAATTAATGTTCAAAAAGGGATTCAGCATTGGAGCAGAAGTCAGGACATCCCTATTGTACAGCTTTCCAGAATAGGGGGAACCCAAGGCCCTGGCATCAGTGGCTTCTCCTTTAGGCTGAAAAGGAAGGGGTCTAGAGACCAGTAAATGTTTAGTAAGTGTTATATAACCCTCTAACTACAACACAAGGAAGTTCGTTTCTCTCTCTCTTTGATGAAAACACATAGTGGTAAGAATTATCTACTA